ATATATATATATGAATGAGTTTTTCAGTCTGTTCATCCTACATCTTTCATTTCATTCAGCCTTTATTTATACAGGTTAGTCTCACTGAGCCACAAGGACTCATTTACAAGAGAGACATATTTAAAACAAAGAACACAGATGATGTAGAGACAACAATAGACAATCATATAAAAGCATATAAAATGAAAAGTCAATAAAGGAAGTGATATAAAAACGAAACAAAAACAAGCTATATTATAAAACGATGTAAAAAATAAAAACAGGAACATGTCTGCATTGATCTGGGCTGTAGATACCTGCATCCAGATGGAAGCAACCTGAACTCACCATGGAGTGGGTGATCAAGATCTGCCAGAATCAACCTGTGGCGATGCTCCAAAGAACTTACCCATTTCCACTCGCGATGAGATACAATGACATTTTCCAATGGCACACAATGAAGATATGACACCGTAAAGATGAGATAATCTTATCCTCGTCTTTAAGATACAGATAAATGGTGTGACGTAATTTTGTTTGGCTAAGTAACGTCTTCATTCTGCCATCCTTGGTCTTTTATATTCAACCAGAATGTCAACGGCATCAAATACCACGCCAAGAACGGTCACCGCACGCAGATCCGTGTGAGGAAACCCTTCAAGTGTCGCTGCGGCAAGAGCTACAAGACCTCGCAGGGCCTGAGACACCATACCATCAACTTCCACCCGCCCGTCTCCACCGAGATCCTTCGCAAGATCCAAGGCTAGAGCCCGAGGTCGCACCAGCCAACACCCCAAACATAGGCCTGTCCTGACTTTTCCTCACCCATCCTACACACTAAAGGATCAAGTGCATGCTTTAAGTTTTCATTTTTGTCACCTTTGTTTTTATTCCACTCGCATTACATTCTCTCTTTTATTTTTTTTTATTTTTTATTTTTGTACTATCCATGGTATATCACTTGTATTTTTGCAGAAAAACAAACGTATCTTTGTAGTATTTTTATCTATGTACATTTGCACATTCGTATATGCTATTATTTTATTTTCACTCTTTCGTTTAACTTGCATAAGGTGCTAACTGTAAAAAACAACAGAAAGAAAAGACAAAAAACAAATGAAAGGAGGAGAGGAGAGGAGAAACTAAGATGTGAAACAGGAAGTGCGACCGACTCCTGCCTATTTTGTTTTCATTTCCTGCTCGTCTCGGAGGAGGAGGACGTTGGGCTTCTAGTGCTCAGTAGTATTACCCTCGCTGTCCGCTCGCTGCAGGGCTGAGCTTAGGTCTGTGCCTTCACGGTCACTTCTGGGAGTTTAAAAAGCAAGATTTAAGTTATAATTTTAACAGATGTATTGATATATAAGCAACAGATATGTATGTGTATATAAAATATAAAAGTATTCATGAGCATATTCCTAAATAGTTATTTTCAAGCTTTATTTTATATATATAATTCTCAGTGTTTTCGATTTAGTCTTTTGTTTACGTGTAGGTAAGTGTTCCAGTCTTGACTTCTTTGCTGACGTCTAGTTTTGTGGTCCAACACCTGGCTGACTTGAGTCAGTTTATTTTTTTTAATACGTTCAGTGTTAGGAATCAATATTTTCTTTACACATTCAGAAATAGGTTTTCTATTTTATATCGTTATTTCATTGCCACAAAGCTGTTTATTTAATTTTCTTTATTCCGAGTGCCAGAGCAGGGCTCCACAGACTTAACATCAAAAAGTCGGTTAAGCGTCAAAATGTACTCCAGTTGCCAAGATTTTTTTTTGTTTGTTTCCTTTTTCCATTTTCGTTGCCAACAGCTCTCCACTGCCAAACATTGACCATACCATGTGCCTCACGGGAGGGAGGGACTGTCATGGTGGTTTTTACCATGCAGGTCACAACCATTTTCTTGTTGGACGCGCCTCCGAAATGAGCATGGATGCACATGAACAGAATGTCTTCATGTATGCCGTCAGAAGAAGAGGCTGCATTTGTATTTAAGAGATTACCATCTACAACTTGTCGTTTCTGTGCGTTGTAGACGGCAGCATTCCACTTCATTGTGTGTATGTGTGTGTTCTCAGCAGTATCTTCATCAGCGTAGAGAATATTAGTGTGTTTCAGATTTCTGAGCTCGGGTGTCTGGACGTTTTTTTCTGCCTGGCTGCTGGTTTGACTCGTCATGTTGCTGATCGAGATTTCATTCTTCTGTACAAGAGTCAAAACAGAGCAGCTACACTTGTTCATTGCAGCTTAAAAGGATAGTTCAGATCTTTTGAAGTGGGGTTATGTGGAATGGTTAGAAAGAATATATTAGCCGTCGTGGATCGCTCTCTGGACACCCTCAGCTTGAAGAAACTGTTTAATTCTGGCCAAATTGACAAGCTGACAGCGACTTATAAGTGGGATCAGAATCAAAATGAATTGCAGGCATCTTAAAACATTGTTTTTTTTATATTGGCGTTTTAAAAAGGCAGCAGAGCAATTGGTCTTAGCCGTTAGCTGGTTAAGTCAAATTGTGCTCGTTCAGAGCCATCTACAATAGGGAAAGACTCATAACCTTTCCATAAAACCCCACTTCCAAAGGTTTGAACTGTTGTTTTAATACCTCTCATACAAACTTGATATTCCACTGAAGGCTCAAGGCCGTTTTTTCCCCCTTGCTTGATGGATATGCTGAACTCCGGCCTGCACACCAACTCCATTCCTCTGGTTTTCTGTTTGATACAGCAAAGGGGCTTCTGAAAGTTTCCACAAGGCTAATCGCACACAGCAAAATAACCTTCAATGCCTTCTGTTGGTGCGCTGCAGTACTGGCATCAGTGTCCGTCTGTCGAGTCCGAGAGTGACCCAACGTCAGAGGAATTTGAGCATTAGTTTATTGCGTTTTTAGCCACCATCTGTAGTAATAACACAGAACAGAGGAGCGGAGCTTGTGTGCACAGCAGACGATGAAGGGTTTTCCAGTATACCATGTACAGTGAATGTATTGTAATGTGTCCGTTGTCAAGTGCTTTTAAATTATATTTTCGTATGTAACGTGGAGACCAACGTTTCCTTTTTGTATGGGGGTTCAACAGGTTCCGATAAGAGTGACTTGTAACTGACGTCAAATTGTCTTTCTATATAAAAGATGAGCTGCTTAAGTGTAAACAAGAAATGAATTAAAAAAAAAAAAAAAAAAGCAAAATAAAGAAAATATCTGAAGCTCAAACTGATGTTCGTTCTTCCTCGTTAAGGCAAAAACAAAAGATGCACCAAATTCATTTAGACAAGCTTAATTTATTCATAAACATCTTTGCAGAACACATTTAAATCATCTTTCCGACATTCTCACGTGAAACGAACTCGGGACGTGCACCTTGAGATTTCCAGGTATGTGCAGTTTTTTTTTTTTTGTTGTTTTTTTTTCTTGATTGCAGCGCAGTCCGGAAACACTTTGTAGGGACAGAAAATTTAGACGAGCAGCGATACGAAGCAGCCGAGACACATGTAAACACATTCAGTCATGAAGGCTCACAGACTTGCACACAAAACAACAACTTCACAGTTCTGCCTTAAAAAAAAAAGAACTCGGTACATAAAGTGTCAATAACTCGGCAGCCATGATCCGTCACCTCTCCACCCAGCTGCTCATGACAAACGGGAAGTAAAACACAGTTCATTCTTTCTTTTAAACATGAAGGTTGGAGACAGATTTACAACAGTAATTCACAGGCCTCTCCACAAACTGCATTTCTGTACAGTACATTCAGAATAAAGCCTTATTTTAGTGTAGATACATGAAAACAAAAAGTGCCGTTTCTCTTTAAATCCTCTATAATCACCTATATGTACAACTAAATAGTCTTATGTACACATTCAGCAGTCCTTTACAGCCATCGCTCTGCATTTACACTTTAAAGCTTGAAATTTAGTGAACAGCTAAAAGACGACTTTTAAAAAAAATATACATATAGGTTTAAATTAGTTTCAGGACCAGGACAATTTAATAGATTCAAACCAAAGCTCTTTTTGCGACAATTACATTTTGTTCGCGGACTGAATTAAAAATTAAGCATGCACTTTAAAAAAGATGTAAAAGTAAGGGATTGATGCCTTACTTCTTATGTTTTAAAGTGAAAGCAGCTCCAGTTAAATGCTTGGGTGGAACTCTTCATCCTTTTCAAAGTGCATTATTTCTACTGTTTAGGATTGCAAAAAAAACAAGTGCTCATGATTGTACATAATATGTTAAGCTGAGCGACTGAAGGTAAAGCTTTACCTGTACATGTCAGAAAGCAAACCTTGGCGTCCTTCATTCGATCTGCTCGAAGTTGAGCACGTGGCCGTCGAAGTGCGTGAGGACGTGCCTTTCAAAGAGCTGCTGCTGACAGTTGAGGGGGAACTGCTCGGAGCAGACGGGACATACCTTCCAGTGGCTCTCCACGTGCTGCTCAAAGCTGCGCTGCTCAAAGTGTGGTGGGAAGATCACCTCGCACAGAGGACAGCGCTTGTGTACAGCGCTGATGGGGGTGGGGGGAGAAATAGATCAAAGTAGGATGGTGAGTGGAGGAGAACATGTGAACATCTCTTTGAACTTATGCTTAAGACAGGCTGAGACAAGAAAACAAAGGGATGAAATTACAGAAAATCAGCTCAGAGGCTCAAACGTGATAGGCTCCAGGGCTTCATCTGGATTTTTCTCACATTATTCTCCCACAACTGTTGAAACACCATTAACTGAAGGCTTGGCTTTACTTAACTTACTTTACTTTATATCACTTGCTACCCTTCAAGCCAGAAATATAAAGGGCCTGTATGCTCCAGGCACAGCCGCAAAATCAGCGCTCACTGACGTAGCTGCGTGACGAAAATCGTGTCATTTTGTTCTCAGAGCAGCTTCGCCCAAGCCGAACTTTTTCTCACAGGCGTACGCACCGTGCATTGTGTGATTGGTCAGAAGTTTGTGGGCGTGTTCGTCAATGCAGAAATGCGCCCAAACATTCAGCTGCACGACTCCTCAAACACACTGAATTAGTCATGGATGGAGGTCGTGCAGACATCGTGCACGCAGGAGTCTGTCTGCTGAAAAGTGTGGCGCTTTCGTCATGACAGATTTGTGGCCAAAAGGTGGATGCAGGGATGGAGTGGAGACCCTGGCAGGAAGAAACCTGTGCGGTGGCATATACAGTAGTCCCTCGCTACTTCGTGGTTTGACTTTCACCAACTCGCTCATTCGCGGTTTTTCAATGATTGTCAGCTTTAATATTATGTGATTGGAACGGTACAGTATAAAAAGTTAACGAAAATTTTATTTCGGACAAGTGCCGCCATTTTGTAGTTCTCGTTCAATAAGCCTACACTCCAACACCAGTCAAAAGAACTACACTGCCCAGAAGCCAACAGGGCTTCTGACCGCTGATTTCTGCCAAAATGGAGGGAAAGTTTTGCAATGCAAAGTCAGAAGTAATAATCTATCTATTAAGCTCACAGAACTGGCAGGAAAGTCGCAAATAATCCTGAAACTCGATTATCCACGCGCACAAAAACCTGGATGGTGCAGTGGGCTTTGTAGCTGCAGGGTAGGTCTGCAGAACTGGAACTGAGCCCGACCGGAACGGAGCTGCTGCTTGGCAGAGCTGGTGAGTAAAATTTTGCAGTACAGTAGTCCCCCGTTTACCGCGGGGGATCCGTACCCTAAGTGAAAAACCGCTAAATAGGAATAGTAGTAAAAGTAGTAAGTACAGTAGTCCCTCGCTACTTTGCGGGTTTTCAAAATAAGATTGGACATGACACACAATTCATTGGCTGATTGATGGATGAGCCGCACGATCTGCATGGAATTTTTATTTAAAATAAATTATTTAAAATTATTTAGCACCTGCTGCACCTTTGTGCAGCCCACACTGCAGGAGAAGCTTCCTGTTACAGCTGATTAGCTGTTCTCCATGAAGAGTGGAGAAGTAGGCGTGGCCAAGAACACCTGCAGGTGGCAAAAAAACAGATGAGGCAGGGACCTGAAATCATCACATTCTGTGCTCTTCTAGAGCGTTTAGAAACATTGTTTAAAATATTGCAAAAGTGGGGGAAGGGCTTAAAACGCCTTCATATATATATATATATATATATATATATATATATATACTAAAATAAACTACTACTTACTACTCGTACTACTATTCCTACTTCGCAGTTTTTCACTTGTCGCGGGGCTTCAGGGTACAGATCCCCCGCGATAAACGAGAGACTACTGTACTAGTTTATTTTAGTATTTATATTTATTTAGTTATTAAGGCGTTTTAAACTCTTGCAATATTCTAAACAATGTTTCTAAACTCTAAACGCACTAAAAGAGCACAGAATGTCATGAACTCATCTCTCTGCCAAGGCTGCACTCTGCGCTCTCGGGAGGAAGGAGGAGGAGCTGCAGGAGGAAGTTTCTCCTGCAGTGTGGGCTGCACAAATGTACAGCAGGTGCTAAATAGTTCAAAATAATTCATTTTAAATAAAAATTCCATGCTGATCGTGCGACTCATCCATCAGTCAGCCAATTGTGTGTCAGGTCCAATCTTATTTTGAAAAACCGTGATAGAGCGAGTCCACGAAAAACAAAGTAGCGAGGGACTACTCTACTGTATCATTATCATCAACTTTATTTATAAAGCGCTTTAACACCAGCCACAGCAGAAACAAAGTGCTGAACATCAGTAATAAATAAGATGAAAGAAAGCATAAAAATAAAGTTACAAAGCTAAGCACACAATGAATTAAAAACTCAATTTAAAAACACAATATAACGATGTATACTAAATGTATAGTACAGATACGTTAGTTGTTAAAATTAGAATATTGCAATAGTGTGGGAAGGGTTTATAAAGCCTTTATATATATATATATATATAAATACTAAAATAAATATAGCGGTCCTACTTGGCAGTTTTTCACCGATCATGGTGGTGTGTGGAACGTAACCCCCGCAATAATCGAGGGGCTACTGTACTGCAGCGAGAGCAGTTTCCCAGGAGCGCTGCGTTTGTGTCTCGTGGACGACAGGTGTGTGCAAAAATGAACGTCCTGCAACCACGTGACCGCGGGTCGACTGTTCGGCTTCGGATGGAGTATGTCGGGCCCTTGAGATCATTACAGGATGAAAAGTGACACTTGCACCCATTAAAGTCAAACCTTGTAAACGATGTGTGGGGTTTCACAAGATGTGTTAGCTCTCAGCGCTGGTGTTGGGAGAGACTTTCAGCTACTACCAAACATACTTTTAGCTCAGTATCTGTAAAACCAACTGAGAGCCATTTATGTGTTTGCTAAGGTTGTTTAGCTGTGGTGGCCACTTTACATTGGGTGACAGCAAAAGTTAAATCCGTTGTGGTTCATGAGATATGATGCTAACATGACAGACACATTCAAAAATGAAAAATTATGAGAAATTGTTTAAAGGTCCAACAGAAAATTGTATATTAAAATAATAAATTTTAAAAAAGAGTTCCTCCAATAATCTGTGTTTAGAAGTTACCAGTCATTTTTCAAGCAAAAATATTTGATGATCTGAGCTTTTCAGACATAAATTTGCTGCTTTTTTTTCATATTATACTAGTTTTATAAAGCACATCACATGTGGAATCCCTCATCTTTAGGAGCTCCACTCTCACTGTGTTGCCAATTTGTCATTCTAAATATTTTAGAGCTTCCTTCAGTGGGTCGTCTTTATGTCCGAGTGTGTGATCTACCTGGCGTCAAAGCAGAAGCTGCTCCTCGCTTCACTGCGTCTGTTGGACTGATGGTCACATGACTGCTGAGCTTCGTTGCCCACCTGTGACATGCAAATATACCAAAAGATGAGAAAATCATAGCTGGCTATGTATTTGTGTGCATTCAAAACACGATTATTTATATAAAAACAATAAATAAAAATAAACATGAAGGTGCTCTGTTTTAATGCTCCTTTAAAACTTTTTTTTTTTTTTTAGTTTTTAGGTTGCTCCTAAACAACTGAGTACATTTTTAACACTGAAAACTGATCTCAGATCTGTCTTTATGCAAAACCTCCCCTAGTTACCTTCCTAGTCATTATCTTCCTCTCTTTTGAGCTCCGAGGGAGTGACATTAATTAGAGATTTATGCAAATGAGTTCAGAGCTTCGTCCTTTAAGGGCACGCTGCATTTCCCTCCAGTCGGCAAAGAAAGGGCCCATCAGAGAAGGAGTCAGACAGAGGTGCAGTAAAGGAGGGACTATCAAGACATGAACGTTCTGGCTGCAACACCAACAGCCAGGGTAAGAAAGCAAAGTGCACAAAGTTGTCCAACATTTCTGCGGCTAAAGTTATAAGAACGCTGAACATTTGTTTGGTTTTCTAAAATGTGAAAATTGTTGATTTATTCATTAGGCATACGCTTCTGTTTGTTCTATGCAGAAAATTGGAAATAAAAAACACCCCAACGTGGGTGGCTGTGCTGCTACCTACTTTTTGCACCTCCTCAGGTGGATGCTCAGTGTTCTCAGGGGGGCTGGTGCTGCGGGACGGTTGGATGCAGACCACCTCTCGGTCCCAGCCTGGTGCGCCTGGACTGGGGCTGGGCGGTGACATGGGGGGAGCGCAGGGAGGGGCGCAGGGTGGCGCTTCGGGTGGAGGACGGGAGGCGTTCTCAGGAGACAACGGCACATCCACCCGATCTATGACCGCAACAGACCAGACAGAAACACGATACAACCGAGAGGCAGACAGAAACAGAGCCATGGGAGGATAAGTGCAGAAGCAAAGTTCACCTTTTGAGGTCTCTGTGGAGTAAGGATTGCCATACTGCAGCTCGGCCGGCCTCTGTGGCACGAGTGGTGGTGGGGAGGGGTTCTGGGGGTAGGGGAGAGGGTAGCGCAGCACCATGGGCTGCCTGACCTCAGCACCCTGAATGCCAGCCTCCATCTCCCTCTGCCTGGACACATACCGCTGCAGCTTCTGAAGGAAACACAGCATCCATCACAAAGAGACTGCTTTAAACTTACTCATATCCAACTTTACTAAATGTGTACATGCTTTAAGCTCAGAAGGACCACAGTCATTATTAGCCTCATTAGGTATTCAGCTCACAGCTGATTTTCAGTCTAAACCAAGAAGTGAGAAACTACTTTCAATTTACAGTCAAGTTTCTCTAAACACTGTTTTTGCCCTTTGTGATTATATCTGAAGCAAGAGCATTAGTACCCTACTCATTACTGTAATGGGTGTCAGACTCTGGCTCCCTCTGCTCCGGCTGCTGCTGCTGATAAAAAAAAACAGCTGACTTCCTCTCTTGATGACTTCATTAGCGCGCTGCTATCAAGTTTAACATTTAAACCAGGGTTGGGAAGGTGAAACAGACACGTAGCGTGGCATTTGCACTGTCTAATGGCACTGTACCAGTAGGTGGGAAAAAGCAAGTATAGCTGTTTAAATTAGTGGGTGGGGGAGGGATGAAAGTCAAACCTACTGAAAAAGATCAGAAGGTACCAAAACTGCAGATAATTGAAAGCAATGAAAATTACGTTGAAAGTTCACATTATTTACAAATGGAGCTGCAGCTGCCAGTTTGCTTTGAGTTGATATTAAAGCTCAGCCTTCTCTTGTTGTTGGGGCCTGAAGCCAGTTGGACCTGGTTTATGAGAGCAGTGGTGGTGGGATATAAAACTTGTCCTGGGACCACTCTGTAAGGACACTGTACCTGCTCTGGCTTCAACTTCTGGTTTCCCATATGAAGTCCATTGTTCCATGTGATGTAGATGATGAAACTACAATCTTAAATTGCTATTTAGGTGTGGTTGCACGGAGTGTTTATGAGCAGTCAGTATTTTACCTGCAGTAGACAGCAAGTCAGAGCACACTTAGTTTGGAGAATCTGGAAATTCCCACGATGGAGTGCTAACAAACTATTACTGAATTTTTCGGACTATAAGGCGCACTAAGCGAAACAAAACATTTAGATGAGTCAAAATTTATTCAACTCATTCACAATAACTCTCAACATTGTTCAGTTGTACCCAGGGCTTAATTTGTAAACCAACTGATGCTGGAACACAAATAGCAGACGGTCCGGCGAGTGTCTGTGGGTCCTTCGCCAGAAAATTTGGTATAAAAGAGATGCCATTTCCTGCATTTTGTTGTATTTTAAGAGGATTTTAAACATCTGTAAACATTTGATTAAATTGATTAAAAACAGGTCTCTCTTGCAAATGAGTCCTCGAGGCTCAATGAGACTAACAACCTGTATAGTATAAATAAAGGTTGAACTGAAATAACTATTTTAGAAAACATGCTGAGCAGCTCAGATTCTGTCAAGCGTCCCCCCCCCCCCCCCCCCCCCCCACCAACACACACACTTCACTGTCCGACCCGAACTCTTCTCAGTTGAATTCAGTCCTGAGTTATTGCTCCTCCTGCTCCAATCTCGATTACCACTGCCTTCAGGTGCTTCAATTCTCAGTTGTCCAGCTAAGGACAATACATCCATCTATTTATTTTAGATAATAAATTGTCTTTTTGACATTTTGATCGCCGTTATTTTGACAAATTAGTGCCGTTGTTTTGAAACGTGATGTAATGTGAACAATACTCATCAAACATTTCACTCGTATTTTTATTTTTATTTTTTTACTGGAAGCCTTTTTATTATGTCTGAAATGTTCGCAGGAGTTCTGACACATCAGCAGTTGTGCGTGCGCTCTGCAGAGCTGTCTGGAGACTCTCTTGTGCGTAAAACGTGCACTGTCTGCAGGGCGCGCAGCTGAAGGTGGATGAAGACACTCATTCCCGCGGGACATGCGGTCCGTGCCTCTGCTGGGCAGGAGCGTGTGCGCGAGCTGGTGCGCGTAGTGCGGCCAGAACAAACACTCCAGACTGGGCAACGTCTCCTCTCGTTGTATTTTTAACAAAAAATAAAAATGCGCAATGACTTTGGACTTTTAGGGGCGGGGATTTGAGTTGCCAGATCCGAGAAAACAGTTGCTGGAACACAGCCTGTCTAAATGAGAGCGTTCCCGGATCTTGTTCCGGCAGGATCCGGCTCAAATTAACCACCGGTTGTTCCACATAAAATCCGTTCGACGTCAGTAAGCGCAACCAGAATTAATACATAACCCTGGATTATAAGGCTCACTGTAGATTTTTGAGAAAATTACAGGATTTTAAGTGCGCCGAAAAATATGGTAATGTTCTTTTACTTGTCTTAGATGTACTTTTTTATTTTTAGAAGCTTCCTTAAAAGTAACGAGAATAAGAAATTGTTCAGATAGCAGACATTTGCTCTTCAAATTAACCTAAAAAAATCCCAAAGACACTGTACTGCATGTACCCCGCTAAACCCCACGTCAACAAATCTAGTGACATTTTTCTAAATCTGCCATTTTACTCTAAGGAATCAGTTTGGCAGTGGCTCATTTACTGTAAAACAAACAATCTCAACTAAAACAGTCCCAATAAAACACAAGCTTTGTGAAATCTGTTTTACCTCCTGAAGCTGCTCTTTGTCTTTAAGAGCCTGGGCGAGGTTGCGTTTCAGCTCAGTCACCTCGCTGGTACGCTCCGCCATCTGCACCTAGTGACAGCGCACACAGTAAGATCAGGAGATTTCATGATCGTGGACCATAAATTAAACTGTTCACTTCTGTAACATTAGACAATCTTTAAAATTGTGTAGAGTTTCTGCAAAAAAAATAAAAATAAAAATAAATCCTCAAACTCAACTGGAAAGAACATGTTATCATATGTTGCTGATAAGATCTTGTTTCCTGCTTCGGGCTTAAGTCAACTGATGAAGAAGATGAGCGTGCATGCACACAGGTGAGCAAAGTGAACCAAATATTTGCCTTGTATTTACCCTGGAGCATTGTCAAGTGTGTGGGGCCTACTGTAAAACACATCCGTAGAGCCAAAGAAAGCAGGTCTGTGTTCAGTGGGAGATGAGGCGGGTCAGAGGATCCTCATAAATCCCTCACTCTCTAACAGAACTGACCCTGTGGGATAGTTTACATCACTAGCTGCTTGCTCTTCTCTTATTTCACTCCATTTCAAAGGTTTCAAATCCCCCCGCTGCTCTCATGGCTCCTCTTTCTGCCTTATGTCTATCTGTCGGCCCTGATTTCATCTCTCTTAAATTCTGTCTGCTTCTTTCTCCCTCCTCCCTAAATTCTCTTTCATCTCCTTTTTGTCCTCTCTTCGTCTCCCCCCTCTTTTCTCTGAATTTACAGCTCCCCTTCCCATACACACTTTTGTGTCTCTGTGTGTATCCCTCGCCCTCTCTCCATCTTCTGGCTGATGTAAACAGCCGTAAAGCACTAAGTTGTGCGCCTGCCTCTCTTTTCAGTGTCCGGGCCCATTAACAAAAGCTCAAGCCCGACGGCGACCACCTCAGACAGGAGACTCCATCAAAGTCGAGGGAGAGACGTATTTACAGCACAGATAAACACACAGTCACTCATCCAGATTAAATGCCAGTCAGTGCCCTGGTAGATGTTTGCACACGAACGTTTGCTCTGTTCAATAACGTGCACACGGGGCTGCACAAACAGACTCATTTTGTCCTGTGGAAGCAGTAAAAAATGTACAGAACATATATGTAGCTGCAGTTTCATACCGTTTAGCACATGGTAACTAAAGTGAACGAATGCAGAGTGAATAACAATGCAAAGAAATGTTACCAAACTTTGCATATGACTGTTAAAAATATAACAATTAGTTCTAACGCATTTGTGTTTAATTGGTATTTTTTGTGGTAGAGGGTGAAGCAAAATCAATAAACTCAGCTTATTATTAAGATTTTGCTGCTTTTTGTGTAAAAAAAAGTTTCAGCTTTTTTTTATCCCAAATATTAACTAATTTTCACTAATGCATTGAAATGTTTAGTTTACCTTTATCATGTTAGAACAAAAAAAAAAAATGAAACATGCTCATGTGACCTTTGACAGATGTAATAAAGCTGTTTTTGTTATGAATGGGTCCCTTGATATGCATGTAATTAACCCATGCATGCTTTTAATTAAGGATACAAAGTTTTAGAATGAGGCTAGAAGACTTAATACTTCCATTTCCATTTGTTTTCCTTTAATTATCAGGGCAATCGGGTTGTCTAATAAAAAAGCTTCTGGGCTTATCTGAATTGCTGCAGACAAAGTTGAGGAAAATATATTTTTGCGTTTTTAGCTTCTCTGCAAACAGTTGCTTCAAAATCTAGAACAAAAATGTTAATTCTTCTTCTCACATGTATTATAATGAGCAAACCTCGGTGAGTTTTAAATTCCTATAGAGCCACATTTTGCTACCAATGTTACACTATAGGTATAATTGTACAAAGTAGTTCCTAGAGTTTCTAAGAGTAGCATATGAAAAAAATCCTTCCAGTATCAGGATCTTCTACTTTAAAAGCTGCTTCATGTCTGGGGTTTTCATGCAAACAACCTTCTTCACTTTTAATATTTCTCTTCTGTTACAGAAAAAGCTTTTTTGTTAGAGCTGAAATGAACAGTTTAACAATTGTCAACTAAAGTTTTATAATTCTGCACTAAATTCGGGGATTATAAAATAATCTGATGCATCAAAGGTTTATATTAATATAACAGCATCTATTGATTTGTGTGCTTTATTTCACAATTGTCGAACTATAATTAAGTGTTTAAATTTTAAGTCCAAGTATGACGAGTATCTCGTGTGCCTCGATCCGTCTGTGTGAGGTGTCCTACTCTGAATAGCTCCTCCTCGTCAGCCAGCCGTTGTCTGAGCGTCTCGTTGATCGCGCACTGCTCCCTCCACTTCTCCTCCATCATCGCCAGCTCCGCCTCCACCGAGAGCGTCTGCTCCTTCTCTGCCTCCTCTGGACTCCGCCCTTCTGCCTCCCGCAGCCTCTGCTCCTCCGCACCATCCCTCGCTCGCTCCGTCAGCTCAGGTTCTGCTTCGCAGTTCTCCTCTGTGATCGGCCTGTCGCACCCCACCTCCACCCAGCTCGTCATCCTCAAGCTCTCCTCAGGAAGGCTCTCCTTCTTCACCACCTTTTCCCTGGTTTCATTTCCACCATCTTCCATCTGTTTTACATCCCTCTCAGCCTCATTCTCAGCCTTTTCTTTTAGTGAATTTTCTCCCTGCTTTTCCTCAGGCTCTGTGCAGATGTGAGCATCTGCAGATGTGCGTCGCTTGGTTTCGAGTTCTTCAGGAACTGTCATCACTGCAGCTTCCAGTAGAACTGCCGCAGCAAGATTTCCTGAAAAAGAAGACATTAGCTAAACAAACCGTGTCTTGCCTTGGCTGCAAATTGATTATGCACAATTCACTGTAACGAAATGAGACAAAGGCGAGTCTTTGATGAGAGAATAATTGTCACCTGCTGGCAAAAAAGGCGGGAAATCATGTAGATTGCATTTTAACAGATGTTTTATTTATAATTTTAAGGTAGCTGACAGTTTTAATATATGAACAGATTTAATATTTCTCGTGTACTCATTCATAGATAACTGCTTCAACTATTTATGATTTCCTTTTTGGTTGTTGTCTGTTTTGAAGATTTATGAGAACTTTTCACAGAACTTTTAGGATGTAATTAAAAATAAAGTTTTGTTAGGTCCAGAAATAATTGCATAATAAATTGACATCATACACCAAAGTCAGTCATGGAGTTCCTCAAGGTTCAGTGCTTGAACCAATATTCTTTACCTTGTATATGCTTCCATTAGGTAATGTTACTAAACAGCATGGGATAAACGTTCGTTGTTATGCTGATGAGACACAGTTATATTTGTCCATGAAACCCAATGAATCCAATCAGCTACTTAGACTACAAGCATGCCTTAAAGAAATCAAAACCTGGATGACCCTAAATTTTCTGCTTTTGAACACAGACAAGACTGAGGTTTTAGTTTTTGGACCTGAGCATCCCAGAAATACATTTTTCAGTCTTTCACCCTCCTTGGATGGCATTAATCTGTCCTCCAGCTCATGTTAAAAATCTTGGTGTTATTTTTGATCAGGACATGTCTTTCATCCCCCACATTAAAAACGTTACTAGAACTGCCTTCTTCCACCTGGGTAATATCACTAAAATTACAAACATCTTATCTAAAAATGATGCAGAAAAACTGGTTCATGCATTTGTCACGTTTAGATTGGACTATTGTAATGGTTTATTATCTGGATGTCCAAATACTTCCTTAAAACGTCTTCAGTTAATCCAAAATGCTGCTGCCAGAGTCTTAACTGGAGTTAGTGGGAGAGATCATATTTCTCCAGTTTTAGCTTCTCTCCATTGGCTCCCTGTCAAATCCAGAATTGAATTCAATATCTTACTTGAAACCTACAAAGCCCTCAACAACCTAGCTCCATCTTATATTCCAAATCTTATTGTTCCATATGTTCCTAACAGAGCACTTCACTCTCAGACTGCAGGTTTACTTGTGGTTCCTAGAGTTTCCAAAAGCAGAATGGGAGGAAGATCTTTCAGTTATCAGGCTCCTCTCTTGTAGAACCAACTTCCAGTTTCTGTCCATGAGGCCGACACATTAGCCAGTTTTAAAACTGGGCTTAAGACGTTCCTTTTGATAAATCCTATAGTTAGGGTTGGCTTGTTATGCTGCCTTAAGCTTAGACTGCTAGAGGACACATTGACCTCATTCCTAAAATGAATTGTTAAAATTGAATAGTTTTCATTTGATACTATTTCTATCTTAACAAGTGATTCTTGACCTGCCATTGTGTATCTGTTCCTACCAAACCCAGCCGGTCAAAGCAGATGGCCACTTGTCCATGAGGGAGTTTTTCCTTTCCACTGTCGCCTTCATGCTTACACAAGAAGAGAGTTCTGCGATGGAGTTAAATTCAAAGCAGTCTGCTCCTCAGATAAAGTCTTAAATTATTATTTTTATATATGGATGTTTCTGTTAACTTACTTTACATATTAATATTTATGTTCGGTGCCCTGACATGACTTCTGTTGTGACTTGGCGCTATATAAATAAACTGAATTGAACTGACCCTGGATTATTGAGCATGCATCAGGATGAATTGAACTGAATTAAATTATAACTTTAAATGTGGAATATTTCATGTGTGAGATACTGTGACCATTTTAAAATTTAACATTTTAAAAGATGGCTTATTTAATGCATTTTTACTTAATAGCTTAAACAAACAAGATGATAATTTTTTTATTTACAAAAATAAATTAATTCTAATTTATTTAGCTCCTTGTAAATAACCATTAAACATTGGTTAAAACAAACAAACCGATGAAGTGTTTGAGAATAAATTAATTTGGAAACAAAAAAACACTTTATGAGTGCAGATAGTAAAAATTAATGTGTCATAAACTGCTTCATTGTACCTTTCATAGGGGATTCAGGACTAGAGGTCAGAGGCTCTTGTGTCGTCTCAGTCGACACATTTTTCTTCGACTCCTGTAAATTATCAACAAACAAAAACAAAAAGTCTAATTGTAACCATTTTAGGCTGTGATGATTAGTACAGTGTATTTCCTGACGCTCCTGAGAATACTCACCCCCTGTGTCTCTGTGGCGTTCAGCTTGGCCACCTGCCTGCGGAGGCGCTGACACTCCCGGTACTTTTCCTTGTAGTGCTCAGCAGCCATGTGGAGGCGCAGCTTCAGTTCCTCCACCTCCCTCTGCAGCTCGGCCTCTGCCTCGGACACCACCATGATGCTGGGTGTCACCTCCCCACTGGTTCCAACACCCTGAAATGAAAGGTCATAGTTCTAACGCTGTTATTTGTGATTTAAAGCAATGCACGTTTGTGATACTAAATTACACACGTCTTATATATTATGACTGTACAACATATTGTACAACATATTGTACAACATATTGCAATAATAACTAGAGAAATTGCATTTTCTGCAAAAATGCAATGTGAACGATTATTGCAGAAAAACTTGTTGAAAAACTGCTGAAATTGGCTAAAACATGCTGAAATGTAGATTAAATGAACTAGGCTTAAAGTAGCAGAAGAAAGCAGAAAGAACACATATTTGCTGAATTAGGTTTAAATAAGCAGAAATGAGAAAGAAAATTAGTAAATTAGCTATAAAAAAAGAAGCTAAAATTAGCAAAAACAGCTGAAATGTTGCTGAAAAGGCAGAAAGAAGCTTAAAATACCAGAATGAAGCGGAAAGAGCTGAAATGAGTAAAAAAAGGTGGAAATAGCTGAAAAATCAAAATTTAGCATAAAACAGCTAAATAGTAGCTGAAATTAGCATAAAGAAGTTAATTAGACTAAAAGCAGCAGAAACGAAAAACTTGAATTTATCTGAAAACAGCTAAAATTAGCTACAAATGCTAAAAAGTTAGCTGAAAAGTTAGAACAAGCTTAAATTAACATAAAAAAAGGCAGAAAGAACACGCTTTTCCAATTAGGCTGAAAGAAGCAGAAAAGAGCACAAGAAAATGGAAATTATCCGAAAAAAAACTGAAATTAGCAAAAACAGCTGAAGAGTACGTAGGTAAAAAAGCAGAAAAAACTGAAATTACGAGAAGGAAGTGGAAAGAGCAATTTTTTTCTGAATTAGGCTGAAAAAAGTTGAAATGAGTGCACTGCACAAAATGTGGAATTAGCTGAAAAAGCTTAAATTAGCAGAAAACAGATAAATACTGTAACAGCTGAAATGGTAGAAAAAGCTAAAACTTGCATAAATAAGCTGAAAATAGCATAACAAGTTGAAATTTGCAAAAAGAAGTTAGACGATGCACAAAAAATGTTGTAGTTGGCAGAAAGAAGCTTAAAGGAGCACAAAACAGCTGGAAAAAATGCTGAAATTAGTTGAAAAAATTGATTGGACTGTAACAAAATACAAACTGCATGTAATTACTGTAATCAGATAGAGCCCCAAAACCCTAAATGAAGTAAAGTATCACTGTTTTAAAGTCTTAGTCTGAAGGATTAAAATACGTGTATCGAGGAGGCCAGACACTGACCACCTCCTTGTGAGTGGTGCTCCTCATGCGGTCCAGCTGGCTCTCCATACGGCGGCACTCTGCCTGAGCATCGGTCAAACTGGCGCGGAGCTTGTCAGCCTCCACGCGGGCGCGGTACAGCTCCGTCATGGTGAGGTCGCGGGCGCTGGCTGACTCACGGAGCTCTGAGGCCAGGAGGGAGGCCTGCTGCCGGGACGCCTGGAGCTGCTCTTCGGCCTGACGGAGCTGCTCACGAACGCGGCCTAGTTCAGCCTGAAGACGAAGGAAAGTAACAGATCTTTTACTAAAAAATAGGAGTGGGAGTCCATTTTAGGAACATTCACCATTACCTTATCAGCTTTGTAAGACAACAGCTCCTTCTCCAGACTGTCCCGCTGGGCGACGCACACTCTGAGCCTCTCCAGCTCCTCCTGGAACTGAGCGATGGTCACCTCCCTGTTCAGCTCCACCGCCTTCAGCATCTGAAGCTCTGCGCTCAGCTTGGTGTTCTCCAGCTCAGTGCTGCGCAGGTGAGCCTACACACATGCCAAGAGAGAAGAAACAATTGGAGACAGAAACAAGAGCGTTTTGTCCATCTTTTGACGTAAACAAACTTCTCTCTTACCTTATAGAGATCTCTCTCATCCTTTTCATTCTTCAGCTGGCTCTCGAGACTGTCCCGCTCTACTGTGAGCTTCTTCAGACGATCTCGCAGACTGCAGCGTTAAAAACAATGTTTACTGTATTTTGTCCTCAAGTGACATTATACTACAAATTCTTGAGCAATTCTTACAAATAAACCTACAAAGAAATGGAAGTGAGGATGGACCAGAGCTCTGCTGTGTGCTTAAACAGTAGTGAGTGTCTCTGAGTGAGTGGACAAAGTCCCTGAACAGGAACTACCTGTGTGTGAAGTGTAAAATTACAAACAATAAAAAGCTTGGTTATGTAAATATGTAAGCAAACATATTTGGAATAAATTAGCATTTTAGGAGGTGGATATTCATTTAAGCCATTTGAGTGAAAATAAATGAAGATGTTGAGAACTTACCCAAACAGTTTGGGTTTGGTGAAAGAAAAATGTCTTCACAGAAACTGACTGCTAACACAGAACATTTCTCCAGCTCACCAGTCCAGCTCGGTCTCCTTCTGCAGGCCTCTCTGGGTGACTCCCAGCAAGTCTTCCTCCAGCTGGCGGACCCGGTCTTTGGCCTCCGTCAGCTTCCGCCTTACCTCCTCCCTCTCCTCTGAAAGTCCTTGTGACGAGCGCAGCAGCTCCTGCAGGACACCGAGGCAGCCAATCACAGCAGCCAAAGCATCAAGCAAAACTTTGTAGGGCAATAAAAATAATACTAGACTATGATCAGGGTTTATTTAATCATTACGATTATTAATAACATATTTTCAGACTATAAGATTAACTTAAAATCCTTTAATTTTCTCAAAAATCGACATTTCGCCTTATAATCTGGTGCGCTTTATGTATTAATTCTGGTTGTGCTACTGACCTCGAACCGATTTTATGTTACTGGTTAACGTGAATGAGTTGAATAAAGTTTGACTTATCTGACTGTTTTGTTTCGCTTAGTGCGCCTTATAATCCGGTGCACCTTATACTGCAAAAAATACGGTAGATAATATCTGTGCATGTTTGAATCGTTATGTGCCACAAATGTACGTCTTACAAGTTTGTTTTATTACAGTGCCAAAGGAAGCTTTATCAAATCTGCATTCCCAGAGGTTCAATTTCTGTTAAACCAATTTACGAGCAGATTATTCATGTCATTTGCAAAAAAAAAAAAGTTTCTTAAACAATACGTTTGCTATATTTAGCTAGGTTTTACATGGTGTTTTAGAGCAGCTGTGATATACAATATCCCCCCTCAGGTCATTTGTAAAGGCTAATCTTATTGCTCGTAAATCACCAGTTACAAATTACAACTCGTGAGGTTTTTTTGTTTTTTTTTTAACAAATGCAAGAAAACCACATTCAGTGTTTTCAAGCTAATGAAATACTCTGCGGCCCTAACTGAACAAACAGTTGTTGTATACGGCGAGGGCATGCAAACATGAACAAAACTGTTACAGAATTCCCAGAAACAAGCTCCTGGTAGCAGGAGTATCAAACATCCAGTGTTTTCTGCACATGGTGCGCGCCTGCTGAGGACATGTTCTGTTTAAACTTGCTGCTCATCAGCCCTGATGACATTAAATCATCTATAGCTAATATTAGATGTGACAGAACAGCATACCATCTGCACACGCCCTTTGTTCTGTTCGCAACACGCACACAAAAATGCACACTTTCTCTCTCTCACACACACACAGAAGCAAAAAGACGGGACACACAGGAACAAAGCTGCACATTAAAGCACATGCACACAGTCAGTAATCAATACAACATAGATAAAAGCAAAAACTTGACTGCAGACTTAGGCCCGTCTCCCTCTGGGCTTGGCTCTACATGGGTTGCTGTATGATTTTTACGGCTGGCATTTGGGAAGCACTTTAGCAGTGCATAAAGACCTTATAAAAAGTGTAGTCGTAAAATTAGCAGCGACGAAATATGTACTTATGTTTTCATGTTAAACTCAAAAGGATATTTCCATCAGAGGGCCGTGAGTTGGCGCGCCCTCTGTAAATACTCTGCAACTAACGCGCCGCCTCTCGCCAGTCATATATCCACAAACGGACATGCTTGTTGAATGAGAAGCACTGCGGTAATAACAGTGTGTATTAGTATTTAATTTATAGCAATTTTTTTCCCTCCTTCATAAAAAAATAAAAAGACCTGCGGACTAACTCAAAGCAGCTTCTTGAGAATTTAGAGCTGCACTAGGGGGCGATATGAGACAAGTTTAAAGTGAAAACTCCTGGAGCTTCAGCATTTTTCCTGCCTGCCAACTCCCTTCTGCTGCTAACGCTTGAGCTGGAGTTGAACGCTTTAAGCTGTGTGTGTCAAGCTATAAAAATGAGCAACACGTAAAACACCCCAATCTGAATATGACTCATCCTGGTGAGAGGGAGAAATTAAACAGTGATCCTGGTTTACTCGTTCTACTCATCCATTGACGAGGTTTTTATGTAAATGAATCTTGATTTGACAACAAATTGTTTATCGTGCTTATATCAAGTAACTCTAAACCCTGAAACAAAAAAATAAACAGACAGAAAACCGAGGGAAAGCAGTGGCGACTGAATCGCGTGACTGAGTGGTGTTTGTCCCTGAGGCTGGGCAGGACTTTTTTTTATTTTTTTATAAAGGCGGTTTTGTGGACACCCCTCCTGCCATTCCACACACAGACTAAAAAGCTTTGCGAACGGGTGGCATAATGAGCCTGTTTGTATGCGCTTGCGCACATGAGGAGGCACACTTAGGCCCCCGTGGCGTACCACCTAAATGTGAGAGCGGTGCTCGGTGCGAGCGCGTACGAGCGTGTGCGCGTTTGACGTCATGTTTGCTCACTCTGCGGTCGCGATGGCATCGTCCCCGACGCCAGATGCCCGAGAAAACTGTGTCCCAATTCCGTTCTGGCTCACTGACTCAGGCCATTAAAGGAGGCGAGAGGCTGGTGTGCGCACACAAAACGCACACCAGGCAGCTTTTTGTGTGTGTGACAAACATGGACTGAGAATATTCATAAGTGTGGGCCTTTGAAGTCCTCAGCCCTGTGATCGTTGATGAGGAACCGGCTCCATATGCGCACGTGGACAAATCAAAATGCACGCAATCAGACTGAAACCGTCTCTCACTTTCAAACAAAAAGCTCATTATAAAAAAATAAACATTTTTGTACGTATAAATGCTCCAGCTACAATTTTTGTCGCAACAAGTATGTGTTGGGCCCAAATCAAAAAACTTAGTTTAACATGTATTCTTGTGTCGAGTCTTGCTCAAACCTCCTCTCTCTAACCTGGTTGTGTGTTCGCAGGAGGCAACACGTTTCCCTCTCCTGCTCCCTTTCCCTGGCCAGTCGTTTCTGCTCCTCCTGCAGCTGTTGTTTCTCCTCCTGCAGGAGGCGCATGGCCTTCAGCAGCTCCCTACGTTGCTGCTGTGCCTCCTCCACACGCTGCCAAACACAAGGAGATGAAAATTGTTCAAATCCATCATTACCTCGAGCCAGTCAGTGTTAAGACAAAGAAATAAGGGTAGCACTTTACAGTAAGGCTCCCGTTATAGATGGTTAATACATAGTTTATAGATACGTTATTAATTCCTCTATAAACACTTTATAAATCATTAATAACTGCTTATTATGCATTAATTAAGGGTGACAGAGACAAAACTGACCAACATTTGTAAACCTATTTCTTTAGCATATAATATTGTACTTTAGTACCTTATTATAATAAGTATCTACAACTAATATTATATCCTTTAAAAAAATAGGTTTACAAATGCTTATTGTGCTTACAAGGTAGTAACTTAGTCTGAAATGTTTAATATAACAAAAAAATATATAGGTGAACAGATGTGGCTCACTATTTGGCAAGATACTGGTCAGTTTTGTCTCTGTCACCCTTAATGCACAATACGCTGTTATTAATGATTTATAAAGTGTTTATAGAGGAATTAATAATTATCTATAAACTATTTATTAGCATCAATAACGGAAGCCTTATTGTAAAGTGGTACTGAAATAAGATACATTTGTGGGGATGTTAAGATTTTGCGGCCTACCTCTAGTAAGCCAGTCTTGGTGGTGACAACCAGTATGTCTGAGTTGCTGTCATCTTCAGTAACAGTAAGCAGCTCTTCGGTGGGAGTAGTCGGCCTGAACTGGAAAGGCGTGCTGGCTCCTCTGATATCACCCGTGTGAGTGACATAACAGAACTGGTAAAACTCCCCATCAGACTTGGGAACATAATAACCTGCAGAGCAAAGAAATTGTTTTTGTCTCAAACTCTTTTGTTTCGTTCCGTTTTTGATTCTAGAAGTCTTTGAACACAACGTTTGTTAACGCCAACACGTCAGGCAGCCCATATTTACTCTGAACTAGTGCGCCATATTTAGATGTGCAGGAGTAAGTACAGCTGCCAAGTAGTTTTACTGACTCCTAACACACCACAGCGTGCTCTCATATTTTCACTGTGTAATATTTGACCATTTCAGGTCCAGTAAAACCAGTTTGCAGACCCTCGGCTTTAAGTGTGTGTGTGAATATGTGTGTGGTATGAGAGGTGCTCAGGTCCCAGGCCGTCGTTTGCGGTTGTGTTGCCTTATTAAATATAAGTGCTGTTTTTTATGTGCACCGTAAAATGGAGGAGTAACTTTGGAATACCCTGGCTCTGTATAGTGGTTTACATGGTGTGTGTGTGTGTGTGTGTGTGTGTGTGTGTGTGCACCTTGAAACACTACAGTCCTGTGCACAGAAGTTCCTGGTTCATAGCTTTCTGGCATGGGAGACCAAAGGAAGGTGTAATAATCTCTGGCTGTGCTCCAACCCACCTGAGGAGATGATGTAAGCAAACAAAAACAAACAAAAATGAAACTTGACAATGAACTATACTGCCTAAACCAGGGGTGTCAAACTCACAAAAGGGGGCCAAAATTAAAACCTTTTTCAAACTATGGGCCATTTTCAGAATCTACATTAATTCAAGTTAAATACCCAGCATATTTTCTTGGTTGCAGGTTCCTCAACAACAGTTTGATTGGTCTCACTTGACGTTCTCTGCTGCACTTTGGACATCATAATTAAAGATGACTTAAAAAATAAAAGTATTTTACATTTAAAATAACATCTTGGGGGCCAGATAATGTCAACGAGGGCCACATTTGGCCTCCGGGCCTTAAGTTTGACACATATGGCTGAAACGGAGTGCACGTTTTATCAATTATAATTCTGAAACTACAAACCGGATTCCAAAAAAGTTGGGACACTAAACAAATTGTGAATAAAAACTGAATGCAATGATGTGGAGGTGCCAACATCTAATATTTTAATTCAGAATAGAACACAAATCACAGATCAAAAGTTTAAACTGAGAGAATGTATCATTATAAGGGAAAAATCTGTTGTTTCCAAATTTCATGGCGTCAACAAATCCCAAAAAAGTTGGGACAAGTCCATTTTTACCACTGTGTGGCATCCCCCCTTCTTCTTACAACACTCAACAGACGTCTGGGGACAGAGGAGACCAGTTTCTCAAGTTTAGAAATAGGAATGCTCTCCCATTCATGTCTAATACAGGCCTCTAACTGTTCAATCGTCTTGGGCCTTCTTTGTCGCACCTTCCTCTTTATGATGCGCCAAATGTTCTCTATAGGTGAAAGATCTGGACTGCAGGCTGGCCATTTCAGTACCCGGATCCTTCTCCTACGTAGCCATGATGTTGTGATTGCTGCAGAATGTGGTCTGGCATTATCGTGTTGAAAAATGCAGGGTCTTCCCTGAAAGAGATGACGTCTAGATGGGAACATATGTTGTTCTAGAACCTGAACATAGTTCTCTGCATTAATGGTGCCTTTCCAGACATGCAAGCTGCCCATGCCACAAGCGCTCATACAACCCCATACCATAAGTGATGCAGGCTTCTGAATGGAGCGTTGATAACAACTTGGGCTATCCTTGTCCTCTCTGGTCCGGATGACATGGCACCCCAGTGTTCCATAAAGAACTTCAAATTGTGACTCATCTGACCACAGAACAGTCTTCCATTTTGCCACACTCCATTTTAAATGACCCCTGGCCCAGTGCAAACATCTTAGCTTGTGGAGCTTGCTTAGAAATGGCTTCCTCTTTGCACTGTAGAGTTTCAGCTGGCAACGGCGGATGGCACGGTGGATTGTGTTCACTGACAATGCTTTCTGGAAGTATTCCTGAGCCCATTCTGTTGTCTCCTTGACAGTGGCATTCCTGTTTGAGGTGCAGTGATGTTTAAGGGCCCAGAGATCACGAGCATCCAGTAGAGTTTTATGGCCTTGACCCTTACGCACAGCAATTGTTCCAGATTCTCTGAATATTTTGATGATGTTATGCACGGTTGATGATGATAACTTAAAAGTCTTTGCTATTTTACGCTGGGTAACACCATTCTGGTATTGCTGCACTATCTTTCTGCACAACAATGGTTGAATTGGTGATCCTCTTACCATCTTGGCTTCTGAGAGACACTGACACTCTGAGAAGCTCTTTTTATACCCAATCATGTTGTCAATTGACCTAATCAGTATTAATTGGTCTTCCAGCTGTTCGTTATATGCTCAATTTCCTTTTTCCAGCCGCTTGTTGCTACTTGTCCCAACTTTTTTGGGATTTGTTGACACTGTGAAATTTTGAATCAACATATTTTTCCTTTAAAATGTTACATTTACTCAGATTAAACTTTTGATCTGCCATCTATGTTATATTACGAATAAAATGTTGACATTTGCCATCTCCACATCATTGCATTCAGTTTTTATTCACAATTTGTTTAGTGTCCCAACTTTTTTTGGAATCCGGTTTATAAAAAAAAAAGACTCAAAAGGATTCAAAACAAGGATGGAAACGTTTAAAACCATTTAATCCCTGCTCCTTTTGGACTAACAAAATGGGCGTAGTGAAGGTGTGATAATAGGGTGGTGTCCACACACAAGCAGAATTGGGGGTGAGTCAAAACCAAATACAAACGAGTAAAAGGTGGCAAAAAAGAGCAAGATTGGTAGAGGAAAAGGTGTCAATTTTACAGCAAATGACAAGGGAAATGTAATGCTTTGAATTTCAAGTGACAGATTATAAAATGTCAAATCCCTCTCCGTCTACGCCACACACAAACGTAACCACATCTTGTGCAATAATGTGTTTGAAAATAAGAGAAGAGGCGTAAGTGACAAACTACTTTTTTTTTGGGAACGCTGCCACACAGTAATCATATCAATTACAAAGTTGGCACTTAATCATGCTTTACAGGAAACAGAGTGCACAGAATGCAAAAATAAGATTGTTTTCAATCAATTCATAATACTAATACCACAATATTTTTATATATTTTTATAATAACTTTCTTTCGAATTTGCTTCATTTAGACTAAAAATTACAGCACAGATCAATCCCAGAATTTGTTTTTTTCAAAGGTTTACGTGTTCAATCAACTGAGCTACTCAAAACATTTGTCAAAATTTCAAGTTTGATATCATAATTGTAGTGTTTCCCTCACCACCCCTCCATCAAGCCATTACCCTGAACATAGTGCTGCTCAGAAACAAACAGTAGAAGTTAGTCAACAAGAAAACCTTGGCCAAGAACATTCTTTTCCACCTCTAGCAGTGTGACAGCGCGCAGCTCGGCTCCAGCGGCCTCCTGCCAAGTTTTGCTTGTGTGGTCATGTATGTGTGTTTGCTTAAGACAGAAAAGACATCAATAATTTGGCTAATTGCAGAGTGAAGTTGACTGACATTTGCTTAGACACAGTGTGGCATTCCTGCACAGCAGTGATGTTATAAAATAATCACAGGCAAGGCAGCTATCAATCATTCAGTTGAAGTACGAGGGGACAACATGATGACACTTTAATTATACACTCATGCAACGGGTTTCTCCCTGCAGAACCAACCAACATGCCACAACCTTGGGATTTTTATTTTTTTTTTCATTTTTGCCTGAATGAGTTCTGTATGCGCATGAGACATAAGTTATAAATGCATGCATGCATTAAAAATCAACTTTACAGCAAAGCAAAGGAAAAGCAAAACTACCATGCAGGGGAAAAAACTCGAGTACACTCCGTCCTGTGTTTGCTAAAGATACTCAACATACGCGTATTGCTTGAGGGCATCACCAACAAGTTTGTATTGTAACACTAGAATCCTATCATTCTGCTGTAAATGATTATTTTCAGCCACTAGGAGGTGTCTGTACACAACTCAAAACATTTCTGCCTGCTCTGAGTCATCCACACAGTGAGCAGTCTTTCTCCCTTTCAGCTAATGCCTTAAATGCAACAAGAAAATACTCACTCCCTGAGTCCCTGCAAAAAGGTTTTGCCTCTGGCAGAAAAAGTTTTTTTGCTTACAAGGTTAAATGAATAATAGTTTGTCCTTTTATGTTGAATAAGAAAGTAAAATAAAATCTATAATACATGACTAACATTCAAAGCAAAAATGATTTTTGTACAATTGATAAAAGCACAAAACTTCTTGAGACTAGAATGGGTTAATTCGCTTTAAAACTATCAAATAGAGCCAAAACAAGACGAGCATGTACGTCAAAAAGGATTAACGAAGCATGGCTTATTTGCACGGCTCGCTAACCATCAAACAGGTTTCATTAGTATGGATTAACATAATTACTTTTTCCAATCTGTTTTTTTCCAAATAAAACACAGCATCTTTATTCCTTTTTAATTGACCGGGTGGATTTGAAGTCGGTTCTTAAACAACAATAAAACGCTCCTCTTCTGACTTTACGAGACATCGAGTTTCCTAACTCGCACTTCCTGTTAATTATGTGTGAGATTTGACGTGTGGATAAAAGAAACGAGCAGAGACGGGGAGATGGTTCCCAGGAAGCAAGAGGAAAAGGCCGATGGAAAGACTGCGTGGAGTGATGTGAAGTTTTAATAAGAACGAGAGTGGTTCTTAAAGAGTGCCAAATGTGCCTCCCCCTCCCTCTCCTGCCCACCATGAACACTCTTCCATTTTCTGGATCGTGAACAACCACACCAAAGGTTGTGGTAGGCTTTCAGGCATGTAGTGAAGAGCTGAACCATTAGTGTCAGGGCAGATGTCGGTGTTAATGTGCTAAGTGCAAACTTTTGAACAATTATTAAGACGCTAACACACAATTAGTGTCAAAACACGTGTAATTACTGTAACTTCTACATATCCCATGGAGACATCAACTACTCACATTAATAAAATCCAATCCTAAATGGTGTGCAAGTGTTACCTTAAAAATGCCCACCCAGTCTTTTGGGTGGGGAGTAATGTAAGGGGTCAGGGTGTAACGGCACTCCAAGGGTGCCTGGGGCAGAAAACTCTTTTCCACATTCTGGAAGATGACATGGGCAAAGTTGGACGTTTCCATGATGCTGACGCTGCTGCCAGGCGAGGAGTCCACCACCTGGAATGATGACATTGTCCCCTGTTGGTCACTTCATTTGTCTACAAGAGGGAAAACAGCAGAGAAGTCAATAAAATGCCAGAACAACAATAAAGGGCACAGGACTTCTCCCAGATATATGTGCATACACCAGGTCTCTGGGGCAGGGAATATTTACCAAATTGTTTACTTATCCATACCATACCACTTTATTTATAGAGCACTTAAAACAGCGACAAGGCCAACCAAAGTGCTGTTCAGCAGAAAGAAAAAGCAAAACTCACTGCAAAAAATAAATAAATACACAAAATAAAATAAATATGCAAACACATAGAGCCGAATGGAAGAAGTTAATAACTAAATGGCTAACACTAGGGGTGTAACGGTACTCTAAAATCACTTTCGGTTCGGTTCAGTTTCAAGGCCAAAATAACGACTTACAAAATGTTTATATGGAAAATATGCCAAGTAAACAATATGTTTGTATAAAAATAAATAATAGCGACCCATTTGGATGATATTTTAAATAAACGACACTCTTTACAATAAATAAAACTATAGTAACAATAATAAAAAAATACAATAACAGTCAGAACCAGAACAATAAGCAGCAACAGACTGTTTACGATCTAACTAATCAAGTTTTACATTTTTGTCCAAAAAGACAAACTTATCCACATTTTCTGCCAAAAGCACAGATCTAGTTGCAGTGACATTATCTTCAGTGGTGGAAAAAAATCGCTCACTGTAGCGAGTAACCGGTCTTGCAGGAGGGACACAAGCGGATGGTGCTGGAGCTGGACATCTCGATGAAAAGGTCAGTTGTTTTATTATATTAGCTTGCTGAAGAAAAATGGGAGCAGATTACCCGCTCTTAATGTAATTTATACGGATCGGGTGGGGCCCACACAGCAGGTGGGCGTGGACTAAATTTTTCAGTATGATGCTTGCGCATAACGGGATAAACCCATCAGCGACAGCCTTAAAGGGCGAAGCCTATATGACATAGAACAGTTTGTTATCCACTGCTGTCATCACTCTTTGTTAAAATCCAGGTCTCTCTTGTAAATGAGTCCTGTTGGCTCAATGGGACTAACCTGTATCAATCAATCAACCTTTATTTATACAGGTAAATCCCATTGAGCCTCGAGGACTCATTTACAAGAGAGACCTGATTTCAACAAAGAAAGATGACAACAATGGACAACAGCAACAACAATAAACAGTTATAAAAAAAAGCATACTACAGTTTTTTTGTTTTTTTTTTAACAAATAGGATGGCTTAAAGGAAAAGGTAGCAAAACAAAAAACAGCTAGATTCCAAGACAAATGTAGAAAACTAAAAACAGGAACATGTCAGCATTGGACCCTGCCAGGTGTCCAACAGATTCTTAAAGACACTTAGAGAGGTCAAGGTCGAGAGCT